TTTTGAAACTAGTCCATCCCTATAGAAGTAGTCACGTGATGTTTTGGTGTACTAAAGTCACGTGACCTGTGCAGAATATTTTTCCATGCTGACATTTTGAAAAATCTCCTTAAAAATCAGCTACCCTCCTCCTCCCCTAATTTGTATCCACCTTTATGTACTATTGTGTAAAAATGTAATTGTTGCACATCTTTGTTTTAAATTTTGTTTCATTTGTTGTACATCTTTTAATTACAAATGGTGCGTTTATTTTGAAGCAAGCCCCACCTTTTTTGGTTCTTTGTACACCTTATTATAAAAATCAACACAAAGATGTATACATATGTTCGATTTCTGGCATTTAGAATAAATGCTCATTTTCGACAATTTAAGTGTTTGTTATTTTATCGACAAAAAACATAGCAGAGTATAACCTGTGTGTGCTGTTGGGTTTAATGCAGAACAAACACAATAATATAATGTATCTTAATAAACAAATATACACTGTATTTTAATAGACAGGTAATAGATACGTACACATACATACAATGTACCAAGGTATTGTTTGTATCTCGGACTGGTAATATAATGCTTTACAAGAACACATGGTTATGAGTATCTTAGGTCTATCATTAGAAAAGTACAAAACCCTTACCTCCTTGGGATCTTGTGGGGTGATGCCAGCACCCTCCTAAAAGAAAAAGAGTAACAAAAACGTTTGATTCAATTATATCAAACAAATATTTGTACACACAATATATAGGCAAATCCTTCCATCAATGACACTTCTGTTTCTGTCAACTTTGAATACTGTTAGCTTTCCATAAGCCATACCAAAGACCTTTTTCTAATCATTTTCTTTGGGTTAATAAGTATGGATTGTAGAAAAATTCGTTTAGGACAACCAGCAAATTGTTGATGTGTGATGTTTCTATGACTAGTACGATGAAGGTGACATACCGTACTAGTCTTCGTACATAAACACCTAACTGGTGGTGTCATATAAACCTTCCTATATATCACCGATCAACACACATCCACTCAACACACGTCTACACAACACACGTCCACTCAACACACGTCCACTCAACACACATGCACACAACACACGTCCACACAACACACGTCCACACAACACACATCCACTCAACACACGTCAACTCAACACACGTCAACTCAACACCCGTCCACACAACACACGTCCACTCAACAAACACACAACACACATCCGCTCAACACGTCCACTCAACACACATCCACACAACACGTCAACACACATCCACACAACCACACAACACACGTCCACACAACACATGTCCATACAACACACATCCACTCAACACACATGCACACAACACACGTCCACACAACACCCGTCCACACAACACACATCCACTCAACACGTCCACTCAACACACATCCACTCAACACACGTCCCCACAACACACATCCACTCAACACACGGCCACTCAACACACATGCCCTCAACACACATCCACACAACACACACACAACACATGTCCATTCAACACACGTCCACACAACACATGTCAACACACATCCACTCAACACACATGCACACAACACACGTCCCCACAACACACGTCCACCCAACACACATCCACTCAACACACGTCAACTCAACACACATCCACACAACACATATCCACTCAACACCCGTCCACACAACACACGTCAACTCAACACACGTCCATACAACACACGTCCAATGTCCACTCAACACACATCCACACAACACGTCAACACACATCCACACAACCACACAACACACGTCCACACAACACACGTAACTTCTGTTTCACTTCTAGTTTAACATTTGAGAGCATGCTTCAATTACATTTGATTCGCCATGGGAACACACAATTAGCTTTGTGTTGGTATGGGTTATTTACGATACTTTTTATGTGTCAACACACGTCCATACAACACACGTCCACTCAACACACGTCAACTCAACACACATCCACACAACACACACACAACACATGTCCATTCAACACACGTCCACACAACACACGTCCACCCAACACACATCCACTCAACACACGTCCACTCAACCCACGTCAACTCAACACACGTCCAATCAACACACCTCCACACAACACACGTCCACTCAACACGCCCACTCAACACACATCCACACAACACGTCAACACACATCCACACAACCACACAACACACGTCCACACAACACCCGTCCACACAACACACATCCACTCAACACATGTCCACTCAACACACAAAACACACATCCACTCAACACATGTCCACTCAACACACACAACACACATCCACTCAACACATGTCCACTCAACACACAAAACACACATCCACTCAACACATGTCCACTCAACACACAAAACACACATCCACTCAACACATGTCCACTCAACACACATCCACTCAACACATGCACAACACATGTCCACGCAACACACGTCCACTCAACACACGTCAACTCAACACACGTCCAACGTCCACTCAACACACGTCCACACCACACACGTCCACTCAACACACGTCCACTCAACCCACGTCCACTCAACACACATCCACACAACACACATCCACTCAACACATGTCCACTCAACACACAAAACACACATCCACTCAACACATGTCCACTCAACACACATCCACTCAACACACATCCACACAACACACGTCCACTCAACACACGTCCACACAATCCACGTCCACTCAACACACGTCCACACAACACACGTACCTTCTGTTTCACTTCTAGTTTAACATTTGAGAGCATGCTTCAATTACATTTGATTTGCCATGGGAACACACAATTAGCTTTCTGTTGTTATGGGTTATTTACGATACTTTTTATGTTTTAAAAAAAATATTCACACTGTGTAAAAAAAACCAAAGGCACCCTATAGTGGAGCAATACCAATACAATACATTGGTGAAAAGCAAATGCATGTTACTGACAATTAAATGATGCTGCATTGATTGTATTATAACAATTCTGGTATTCGAACCGCATGGTTCCTTACCACAGAGATAGTCTTGAAGATCTCAGGACACACCATGTGTGTGAAGCCTGTCCCCCGTAGTCCTGAGGACAGACTGGTGTGATATTACTTACCACATGGTTAGTCTTGAAGATCTCAGGACACACCATGTGTGTGAAGCCTGTCCACCGTAGTCCTGAGGACAGACTGGTGTGATATTACTTACCACAGGGTTAGTCTTGAAGATCTCAGGATACACCATGTGTGTGAAGCCTGTCCACCGTAGTCCTGAGGACAGACTGGTGTGATATTACTTACCACAGAGATAGTCTTGAAGATCTCAGGACACACCATGTGTGTGAAGCCTGTCCACCGTAGTCCTGAGGACAGACTGGTGTGATATTACTTACCACAGAGATAGTCTTGAAGATCTCAGGACACACCATGTGTGTGAAGCCTGTCCACCGTAGTCCTGAGGACAGACTGGTGTGATATTACTTACCACAGAGATAGTCTTGAAGATCTCAGGACACACCATGTGTGTGAAGCCTGTCCACCGTAGTCCTGAGGACAGACTGGTGTGATATTACTTACCACAGAGATAGTCTTGAAGATCTCAGGACACACCATGTGTGTGAAGCCTGTCCACCGTAGTCCTGAGGACAGACTGGTGTGATATTACTTACCACAGAGATAGTCTTGAAGATCTCAGGACACACCATGTGTGTGAAGCCTGTCCACCGTAGTCCTGAGGACAGACTGGTGTGATATTACTTACCACAGAGATAGTCTTGAAGATCTCAGGACACACCATGTGTGTGAAGCCTGTCCACCGTAGTCCTGAGGACAGACTGGTGTGATATTACTTACCACAGAGATAGTCTTGAAGATCTCAGGACACACCATGTGTGTGAAGCCTGTCCACCGTAGTCCTGAGGACAGACTGGTGTGATATTACTTACCACAGGGATAGTCTTGAAGATCTCAGGACACACCATGTGTGTGAAGCCTGACCCCCGTAGTCCTGAGGACACACTGGTGATGAGTTCCTGCTCCTTCAATGCTGCGTTAGACATCAGATAATAAGACCTCCGGCCAATATTACTGAAGATATCAATAATCATAACCTCAGTTAATTGTTTATATACATATAGATTTCCTGCAAATGTTCCCATTTAATCTATGGTAAGTAAGGGAGAATGCTTTTGGTTAAAATACTCCATCCAGAAATGGTTGCTGTTATGAAATGTGTATACCATTATTTATACAAATTAAAAAGGGTTGTTAAATTTCCAAATAAGGAGCAAATATCTGCTTCAAAGTGATTCACATATACATATCTAATCAGTAGCCATCAGTTACAAGCTCACTTTCTATGTGTTGGTGTTTTAGATATTTTCAGCCATAATGTTATAACAGTATTACAAACAAGTAACTAACAGTGACATCACACAACATTACATAAACTCTTTCCTTGCGCTGTTGTTTTACTAACAGTGACATCACACACCATTACATAAACTCTTTCCTTGTGCTGTTGCTTTACTAACAGTGATATCACACAACATTACGTAAACTCTTTCCTTGTGCTGTTGTTTTACTAAAAGTGATATCACACAACATTACATAAACTTTTTCATTGCGCTGTTGTTTTACTAACAGTGACATCACACAACATTACATCAACTCTTTCCTTGTGCTGTTGTTTTACTAACAGTGCTATCACACAACATTACATAAACTCCTTCCTTGTGCTGTTGTTTTACTAACAGTGAAATCACACAACATTACATAAACTCTTTCCTTGTTCTGTTGTTTTACTAACAGTGACATCACACAACATTACATCAACTCTTTCCTTGTGCTGTTGTTTTACTAAAAGTGATATCACACAACATTACATAAACTCGTTTCTTGTGCTGTTGTTTTACTAACAGTGACATCACACACCATTACATAAACTCTTTCCTTGTGCTTTTGTTTTACTAACAGTGACATCACACAACATTACAAACTCTTTCCTTGTGCTGTTGTTTTACTAAGAGTGATATCACACAACATTACATAAACTTTTTCATTGCGCTGTTGTTTTACTAACAGTGATAGCACACAACATTAAATAAACTCTTTCCTTGTGCTGTTGTTTTACTAACAGTGCTATCACACAACATTACATAAACTCCTTCCTTGTGCTGTTGTTTTACTAACAGTGCTATCACACAACATTACATAAACTCCTTCCTTGTGCTGTTGTTTTACTAACAGTGCTATCACACAACATTACATAAACTCTTTCATTGCGCTGTTGTTTTACTAACAGTGATATCACCCAACATTACATAAACTCGTTCCTTGTGCTTTTGTTTTACTAACAGTGACATCACACAACATTGCATAAACTCTTTCCTTGTGCTGTTGCTTTACTAACAGTGATATCACACAACATTACATCAACTCTTTCCTTGTGCTGTTGTTTTACTAACAGTGATATCACACAACATTGCATAAACTCTTTCCTTATGCTGTTGTTTTATAGCTTACCTGAATTTTATACATTTTTTCAGAGTTTTGTTCAATTTTTCATTTGATATCTCCACTTTTTCTGAAATTTAATAAGAAAACATATATTGCATTATCAATTCTACAACCTGCTTATATATATAATTATCTACTGAGTGTGTCAAGATTTTGGTCACCAATTAGTGAGAGAACTTAATTAGTAAGACAACTACTTGTTTACATACCTAGAGTGTCAGGATTTGGATCACTTTTTGATGAAATAACAAATAAGGTAAGATGGGGAGTATCACTAAACAAGAGTGTGATTCTATTCTCTATAGGTTGTGATTTGACAATTTACCTGAAACCTTACCTGGGAAGCCACACCTGTCCAGCTCCTTCAACTCATCGTTTGGCTGTAACAAAATTATTTTCTAATTAAATAGAAATGTTTTTCCCGAAAAATACTAAAATAAATGTTACATTTTTACTGTATCGGTATTAGTTTGATCTCAAATCACAACTCATTGCTTTATTTGAAGCAAAATTCAGTTTAAAAATATTTTTACAAAGCTTTTGCCATTTTCAAAATACATGTAATGCTAATATAGCTGTACTAAACTCACTGTGTCTATATGTAGATGGTTAGGTATCCGAAGAGCATGGAAAATGACAACTTGCTCTAGAGTCAAATATTCATCCTTTTCAAAAACAAAAAGAAATCAACATTATTTCACAATGAAATATAGTAAATACAGTAGGCTATAATGTTGGAAAATACCAGGTACCTGGCTTGTACTCGTTTATTTTTAATAATGATGGAATTTTGTAGTACTGTAAAAGATATTTCCCAACCAGGATCACAAATTTCAAAAGTTTTCTGTACCGTCTTCATCCTTTCTTAAACATTGACTGATTGTCACTGTCATTAGTCATATTTTGGTTTCATCAATTTTCTTGTCTACAAACAAATAGATTAGACAGCAGGCAAGCTTATATTAGTCATTTGTTATATGATCTATAGTGATCAGTATAAAAATGTCCTGGTAAATCGCTCAGAGCTCCTACTCATAGCCACATCTTCTGTTTTGGGTGGATTCTGATGGCTCTCTACTCATTTTCCTTCACATGTTACCCTCTGGGGTGACCTTCACATGTTACCCTCTGGGGTGAACTTCACATGTTACCCTCTGGGGTGACCTTCACATGTTACCCTCCGGGGTGACCTTCACATGTTACCCTCTGGGGTGACCTTCACATGTTCCCCTCTGGGGTGACCTTCACATGTTCCCCTCTGGGGTGACCTTCACATGTTACCCTCTGGGGTGACAATTATGCACTTGTCAATGTTGCCTATGTGGCTGGTGTCTTTGTAATGTTCGTCCACAAGTCACTGTGCCGAGACCTACCAGTGATCTACCAGCACATTTTGTTATGAGATACTGACCATTTAACGACTGACAAATGTTGATGTTTACCATGCATCACTTCAGACAGGCACTGATATCGTGCCAAACAACTTTTCTTTTAAAACCTTCCAATCTGATAGGTATTCATCTTTCACCATGAATGTGCCAAGACCTGGTAAGAATATTTTGACACAGATTGAATTTTGATTACAACACTGATTTATATGAACCTGACATAGTGACATCACAGCCCTGACTGGACACTTACCATGAGGCTAGTGTGCTGCAGTTTTAGTTGTCTCCCCTTGTCCCGCAGAACTGCTCTCTCCTGTTCTGCTTCTTCTTTGGTCAAAGTTGAGTTTTTCTTGATGATAAAGAAACGATAGAATACAATTGATTATGATCCTTTTGTCGATTACTTTTTATGACAAAAAGGCACTAATCCTCTACTGTACACAAAATACATCTCCAGCACACACAGAGTCATACACACAAAGGGGGATATTAGCCAGGTGGCATAGAAGTAGTTTGCGCCTGATAAGGTATCTCCTGCAAATTCCTCAAAAATTGTATACAATTGTATTGATTAATGGGGCATCATGTGAAGAGCCATATATTTTTTTAATGAATGTATGTATTGTATGCACTTCCACTTATGTTCCCTCGCTATCCCCATATTCATAGTCCGTTCCAAATGTCCAGTTTGACCACTTGAATTGTTCGGGACAGCCCTGCTAAAAATAGCGCCGATAACGTCACCTGACTAGGCAGTAAACACGAGCGGTCTGAGCGAGATGAAACGGTTTCCAAAGGGGCCCCCCAGAGAGGGGCGTCAGGCAACTGCAATTTCTTACCGCACTATGAAACCAAGTAATATGATTTCTAAGTCTGTATTAAAACTTATTGAACAGTGTTTATTCATCATCAGAAGTTAAATTGCACACTTGCCAATATTCAGAATTTAAATTTATTTAGCTTCAAACATATTTGTTGGCAATAAAATTGAACAAGGGATTGGACACACGTTTTTACAATTTATCACAGCCTTCTCCCGTCATACATTTACAATTAAATGTCAACAATGATAATAGGCATAAACATAAAGTATATATATATATATATATATTGAATTTAGTACCGGAATGTGACAACTGTATGGGGCTAACCACCTTTCTTTAACCATGGGACAAACCTTTCTTTAAAAAGGAATATTCACAAGACGAATATCCCTTTTCAAATGTTTTCATAAAGTGCATATATGCAATGACAAACTACACGCGTATAAAAAAGAGAATCGTTTGTGCTTTTTTTTATTACATTGTACAACTCAATATCTTTGGCCAATTTCTTTTTCTATACCATGCATATACGTTTATGTATATTCTCTTTCCAACTTTCACTGTCTCCATACGCTAACACTTAGTAAGTCATACTAGCCATCACACACACTAAAATGTATGGCAAAACCACTACGTGTACATGTAGAATATGTGTCAGATATGGGACGTGTTGAGATACTTGATAATTATATTTGTTCAATACTTTTCATAGAATAAAGCATTCTTGTCAATGGACCCTGTTTTATGTTGAGCCAACTTTACTTTAATCATTTAATTTTTGTCCGAAACAGAAGCCGTAGTTATCGGCAACACGCGTCATTTTTACAACGTAAACAAATCTTTCTTCCCCTGTTTTCAATACGTATTCCGATTCTATCTGAAGTCGAAAATTAATTCTTTATAGAGAAAAGGTTGTTATACATGATCATCAATCTAAGTCAACAACATATAAAAACATGAACTGTTGAAAAAATACGATTTAAAAAAAAAATGTTATGCGATCCTATTTACTTGAAGTAGGTTCTCCTTCCTCAGTTATTCATCATGGCCCGTCATTTTGACATTTTTAATCTAGCTGCGATAATGTAGCTTTCTGACGACGAGAGATTGTTTTTTTTATATATTGCGTCGTCGCGCCAGATGAAGCCGGGTATTCATATTAGTACTAATTCAAATCTTATATGCAAAAAACAAACAACAAATCGTTTCATTCAGCAATATATTAAATCAAACCATTTTACTGAACCCGGTAATATTATAAATTATGTAAATCTAAAAGCGCACGTATCTCATTTGACCCCGATCACGAGTACCGACAGAGACAGAATACGCAGTGGCTATCACAACAGTTAACCCTTGGAGGTCCTCATGACAAAATCAAACTAACCAGTCACTTATCCCTTCCTTTCGCATAAACCCCTGTATAATTATGGAAACATGCCCATTGACATATTAAACTAATTTCATCTGTGTTCAAACTCAGACAAAGATACTAGCGAGGTTAATAGTTTTAGATATTTATTAATAACATAAACAGCGCTAGCATTTCTATCGATTCCATTTCAGCTTTACCGGCTATCCGGAAGAATACATGCATCGTACTAACTGCTAGGGCAGTTATCTTCTCCTTTGAATACTTCCCACCTGTAATAATGATTCTGTAACGTACTCCTTGTGCTATCTTTTGACCATTTGGCAACTTTTCGCTTCGTTGCTGACACGGTACAACACTTTTTTTTTGGCTTACTTCACACAGCCAGTCATTTTGTTTACAAAGAAATCGTGTGCAATGCGCATGCGCTAGTAGAGGGAAATCCCTGAACAAAACGTTGGTCAGACAGGTAGAAATACCGATGATTATCTTAGATTTAATCATTTTTATGAATCTATTTCAGCCAAATCCGATCATTATTTTCCATAAGGAGTCTCACTTGATATGTTTATGCAGTATTTGAAAAAAAGACAAAAAAAATAGTTACTTCAGCGTGATGCCCCTTTAATGTATATACTAATTGTATTTATTAATTGCATATCTATGTACTGTAAAGCACTTTGGAGTGGCTTATGTTAGCTAGATAGGGCGCTATATCAAATGTTGTATATCATTATTATTACTGTAAATGTAAAATGGTTGTTATATGACCCTCTACATTTAAGCCACTTTGGTTTCTTGTTGACAACTTAAGAACCTTTCCCTGAGGGTTGAGATTTCCCTTTTCATGTTAAGGGGGTAAATTGTTCTTTTTCTCTTACCCTGTTGATCCAGTCACAGGAATTTCTCATACCAAGGAAAGTGTGGTTACACCTGCCCAGGGTAAGAGAAATAAGATTGATGTGTATTGGGGATTTATTTTGCTTTGATTGTCCTTGCTACTCAATGGCAACAATTTGAATTTTTCACTAACCACTTGTTAAAGTTAACCAACCTTTGACTAACCACGGCCAGGTTGTTATCCTATCGCTCTAATCGACTAAGAAACTTGGACAACAGAAGCGTTCTGGCCCAACTGTGCTACAGTTATATATCAAAAACGAAATTAAGAGGAGGTTGAACATATGAGAGAAAACCCCAGTGCAGTAATACAGGGATCCTTAAATGACACACAGAAAACTTTTCATAAATGTTAAATTCTTTTTAAAATGACAGTTATTTGATGGTTTAAAAAAAAATTGATTTTAATGACAGTAAAAAAATATACCGACTCACTTTTTCCATTATGTTCCTTGTTTAAATGACATTTAATGGTTTTAAAAGCACCTCATTTAGTATGACATGGTTAAACAGTTAAGAATTATATAGTTTAATGGTAATAAAAGACAGAGACTCACCTGCTTCTGTTTAATGGATTGAAATAAGAAACTTGTGTTCTTTTGGTCTTCCTCTATGTTTTTCAACTTCACACTTATCTCAGCAAACTTTCTGTAGTTGTCTTTCTGTTTAAAAGTGTCAGAGATTAATTTTTCTTTATAATGCGTCCGACAGAACAACCCAGATATGTATATAAAACTAACTCTCCTCATCACAGAGATATACATACTTACACATCGTTTACATTTTCAATAATCACATTATTTGTGGCACTGTTACCCATATACATTTACAGTTCCCTGTTCAAGTGTACAAGTATATGTATCTATATATGTTAAAGTGTTTGTATTTATATATCTATTTGTCACATTACTTATCAAATATATAGCAGAATATGCCATCCAGTACATACATTTGTAAGATATAAATTAACTCATATATCTATTACTTGTAGATCTAGATGTAAAAGGTATATGGAACTACACATTATTATTTTCATTTGTCACAATGCAAAAGAAAACCTAGTGAATTCAAGTCTTAAATAAGTTGGTTAAGATTTTCTGTTTTACGCTGCAGACAAAAAGTATAATGCGCAAGTTTCTATATAAGCTTCTGCTAAACTTCAACTAACTGATGTGAATCATCTGGTAAAATAACTAATAATCAGGATTCATGATTTAATATTTCAACTTACAAACTGGTTGATGTGATCGCTGTTCCAGCTGGTGTGTTTTCTTGAGTGTAGATTGGAATCCAGGTCATGCAACATCGCCTCAATATCAAGGTCTAATGACAGTAATAGTGAGTCGTCCTGATAAACACCACTTACAAACAGTGACGACTCTAACTCGGATATGTTACTAGACCTTTGGACGCTGTGTTGATGTCTTCTGCATTGTCTACAGTGGTTGGTAACACTGTACATGTTTTTCTGGGTAAAGGATCTGCACCAGGCCTGTCTTCCAAAGTGAAACAAACGTAAACACAGCGACATCTTCATACCTGTCAGAAAGAAAACATAATATTCTTTCAGTACAGTCACTAACACACAGTGTACAACAGCATCACACGTCACACTGGTCATTGAACTAATTTAAAAATCAATAACAACTGTGCAGTTTTGATAATTAATTTGATGTTAAAAGAACATACTATAAACACCAGTGGAAAATAAGCTGTTTTTGCCACTGCAAAGGAATCATAATTAGTGTATTCGAGTTGTCTTTCTTTGAACATCGGATAACACTCGCATATCAAACGCCGATAACGGCCGTTCCCGGCAGGTGACAAATGTTTTAATTTGTCTATATTAAACAAGTTGTCAGTTTCAAGTTTTTCGTTTCCATTTATAGTTTGTTCACATTTTTATCACAATCCTCGACTATCAGTCTTACGCATCATTTATTGTGGAAGTCTGTCATCCAGTTTACCAAGCTGTTTAGAGTTGTCTGGTTTCTGACATGATCTTGTCAGTTTCTTCAATAGACGCCGATTCAACACTGTTTCTAAGCCTATGTCTGTTTCATATGATTTTGGTTCATGTCGATATGACAGTCTTATTAAATAAATACGATTCTTCAACAACTTACTACTTACGTGTTTATTTTCTCAACGCCTGCTCTGAGCTTGTTGACATTCGACTGCATGTACATGGGCGCAGCCATTACATATTGAAAACGAGGCCACTGTGACCTTTGACACATGGGTGAAGGTCATAGTAATCTTCACGAGCGGTAAATTTCAAATCACAACTTCCGGAAGATACAGGTAAACAAAACATTATTCTGCATTTATATCACATACGTGAAACGGTATTTTATGTTTCATTGGTGATGTTTCGAAGAATAACAATTGCTTATTATGAACAAAAGGCCAAACATTTGTGTCAAAAGCGGCAAAATACTCCCGTAAGTTTCTTGCACATGACATTCATTGACATGCATTTCTACATTTCTTCAGTGATTTTTTCACTGAAATCAGTGGGGGATACTTTAGAAACGAAAATTTGCAGAATGTAGGCCCCTCCTCACTCTTTCCGTAACATTTGTGTCATTTGCACAGGTCAGTGACCAGGTAATTTCTTTTAATCTATTGCCTTTTGGACAAGAAAAAAACCGAGGGCCATTCATCACCTACTAGACTAACTACCTCAGCACAAATGCTGATGATTATATGTTCGAATCATGATCTGGTCAATTTTTGTTACAATTTTAATATTATATTTCAGCACGTCTACTTGATCTCATCTCCGACCTACTTTCATCGAGATGACATGATTACTATTTAACTCATGGCTTACAACAAATCAGACCGTTGTTCTACATGCCTGGGGCATTGCTCTGACTCTGTTACTGTTGGCCATAACCCAATCCTGTTGCCCTGTGGTCACCAAAGCTGTTCCAGGGTAAATATTTTATTCATGTAATAACGGATTTAGATACTCACGTGTTGTAATAGATAATGCATGGACAGTACCAAATTATATTCACCAATATCATTACAATAACCAGGGATATCTCTTGGCATATAATTACTTGATATATATTGCACAATACCAGTCCTGGTTGGCCCTGAAGTTTCGAGTGATCCTGTTCGATCTATGAGGTTTAAAGCGTTTGACAACCCCAATCGGCCACCAAATATAATATAGCGTTTTTGTAGAACCTCTTAACATAATCTAACTTATTGTTTATCTTAGGCGAACTCTTGGTAAACTATCGATTACCCACGTCATATTCTGTGTAACATGTTTGTGGCTGAAAATATAGTAAAACGTAATTGGAGAGACACCTTCACGTTGCTGGTCTTAAAACATCCCGTAAGACTTATTCTTCAATCCCCCCATCTAAAACAACTTAAAAAACCCAATAGTGGTTTCAATGATTCAATGTGACTTCGGTTTCATAAAACTAATTTTTCCAAGAAGGATAGCATTGGTTAAGTTATGGAAATATTTACCTGAGTTAAGGAACTTTAACGAATTTTAATTCTACTTTGAAGTGTCACCAAACGCAATGGCTGACTTCGGAAAGAAACGACAGCGAGGAAATTGACTGCATCAAGTGCACCTTGGCAGCACTGAGTGAGCAGAGCAGTGAACGACACGACCTGCTGATGAGTAACCATACACTGTTCGGATTGGTGAGTAGTACCTTCGCTATCCATGGGTCACAAATCGCCAAGTTCTTATAGATAAACCTACTTCAGAAATTCATAACCCGATATTGCCTAAATATGGCAGATATATATCTAAACATAACCTACACAACGTCACGCTACCACAATTGGTACACTACCCAAATTGGTACACGGTCAGAAAATGGTTCGAATAGTACTTTTTTGAGCAATTTGAGCATTTTCCTTTGACAGTATAACAAGAGATATTATCATTCTGCCGAATAGTTTTGTTTTCAGGAACATTTTAAGAGTACACGATGACTTCAAAGTAAACATATCAGAAAACCAATAAAAACGACGTACGTCGACAAAATTTTGGAGGATTTTGAAGGGGTTAAATATAAGCATGTTTAGATGTTGATTTCTGGTCCTTATAACAGGATAATAATAAGTGAATATATACAATTATAGTTCAGTATGGTATCTATAAAAGCAATGTATTTTGTTATAATCGGCACATTAACTTGTAGAAATAAAAACAAATGCCATAGCCAGTAATATGGTGTACCAGTTTGGGTACAAATTACGGCCGAAAAACGGACGAAATCTCACTCCGAGTTTAGCGTTCTATTTTCAAAGACAAATTACTTCGATATAAAACTTTTCCTGAAAATGAACAACCATAGGTAGACTTTGTCAAGAATCAAGAAACTTTCGAGATACAAGATCTGAATTTTTAAAGATCACTAAAAAAAACTGTCAAAATTGTACCAATTGTGGTAGCGTGACGTTAAATAAAACATTGGATCATATGAACTTCGTGCTTCATTCAGCGTTAATGATTGTTGACAATCCCAGTAAATAAGGCTTTTATCATTAGGAGAGGAGGTTCATATTATGATACCCTATTGATTAGGGATTATTGCTTAAAGTTAGAAAAGTTAATATTCACCCTTTCCAGGCCAATGTCGGAGCCGTAATCAGAGGAGCCGCGGGAACACACACAAAGGTTGACAGTGCTGATAGCACAAATCCTCAGTTAGCCTGGAAGGACACTTGCACACCAGGAGCTTGCCCCCAGTACCACAGGCAGATTTACAACCACCGAAACTGGTCTGGTCCCGCGGATATCCTCCAAACAAAGCATGAGATTGGATGGAATGGTACACAATCTTGTCAGCCATCCACGGACATGACACTGGTGACCAGGGAACTAGAATCGGACAATGAGCTAAAAGACACGACGCTTAACATTAAAGACATGTCTTCAGTCTGTGGAGAAGTACTGAGGTTCACTCCGTTGGATCCAAAAAAGAAACATCATAAAAAGTCCAAGAAAAATAAAAAGGAAACAAAGCAGTTGTTATCTCCTGAGAAGTCTTCAAAAGACACCACTGCGCATGTAACAAACAAAACAGAAGCCCCGGATCTCATACAGCCTTCAGATTCTAAACCCCGAATACAAACATACAATGAAAAGACACATACAAATGTATCCACAAAGGCGCACACATCAACACATGGTCAGGATAGTACGTGTGGACAAAATGTAATGGAGGACCATGCAACCAGTGATAATCACAACCAATCAACAAGCAGATCACACCATCATCACAAACGTTCACATAAGAAATCAAAGAAAAAAAAGAAAAACAAAGAGAAAAAAAGGACCAAGTCGAGGCAAGACACATCACTTAATGAAACGTCTAACCCTGAATGCAAAACAAACATAAAAGTAAAAGAGACGGAATCATCACCACAACTGGTTCACCTTATTGCATGCAAAGAGGATCATGGAAACACTGAGGAAGATAAGTTATATATTGCTGAAAATAGTGAAGGGGATAAGCTATCCAATCCTGGTAAAAACCAGGGGGATAAAGTATATGCTGATAGAAAAATGGAGAGGGATAAGTTGTCGATTGCTGAAAATGGCAAAGGGGATATATTGTATAGTTCAGGAAAAAGTGAGGTGGGTAAATTCTCAATTGCTGGGTATAGTGAGAGCGATAAGTTGTCTATTGATGGGGATATAGAGGGGGATACACTGCCCGTTGCTGGAAAAGATGGAAGTGAGTCGGAGGAAGTCACACTCCATTGTTTATCATGTGTGTCGTTAGACGCATGTGCCTCTTCCACCCGATTCAGTTCACCTATGTCGCTCGATGACTATCAGTTGAAAAATCTATTGGAGGACAAAGATATTCCGGAGCTGGAAGTTCAGAACTGGGAGGATAATGACAAAGATAACACCGAACTGGAGGTTCAAAACTTGGGAGACCATCACAAAAAGCGTAGCCCAGCCAGAGATGGTCATTCCCCAACTTTCCTTTGTAGCTCTTTCCCAACCCAAGACTTAAGGAAATTCAAAGAGTTTCATGAACGAAATACTGGAAAGTCTGAGTTTTATCAAGAATCCACATTAGAACCTGACATCACTGTAAATCCGTTAGCAGAGACTGAGCAAGATAGATCTGAAACAAGCAGTGACAGGCTGTCATTGGACGGCAGTATACTGGACAGGTCAGGGATCCTGTACTATGATCCAATTGATGACAGTGACGAGGATAGACTTGTGATTATTTCCAGGGTTACGTCAGAGGCTTCCTTAATTGAGGATCAAGCAGCCGTACTAGACTCAAACACCAAAGAAACTGTGTCTGGGATTGAGTTCTTATCGGCTTCAAATTGTGACTCTCGGATGGCTATGGGTGCTGAAGAAATTACGATGCAACAGGTGGATAAAGCACATGGTGTTCTCACTGCTGCAAAAGACCAAGTGAAAGCAATTCATTCTGATACGCATGTGTCATTGGCAGTCAAGAAAGAAGACCAATCATCTATAACATGTAATATTTCACAGGAAAGGGACTCTCATCTTGTAACAACTGAAGTTGATCATGACCAATTGCTGCAATCGTACCTGCAGTACTTAAGTGAAAAATCCAACAATTTCATCGATACAGGCAAGGAAGAAGACAAAGAATTACAGTTGCAAGAACAGAACTTGGTCAAAGGATTTCAGGAAAGTTACACCACAAGTCTAATCTGCAGCCAACTGGCAAATACAGCTCTGAACAAAATTAAAGAAACAAGGGACAGTCAAAAGGGGCCATACCAACTGTCAGCAAAGATGTTGACAGGTGTTCTCAATATTCTTGTGCAGCAGGCAAACCTGGCATCAACAATATGTAGTGAACTATTATACAGTACAGAGAAAAAGCAGGCAGAACTCCTGGAAGTATCAGATGCGACATCGACACCGGATAACATTGCAGAGGATGTCACTAAAAAGGCAGGTGATAACCAAATCCGCGTAGGTGCAGAAACATATGCAACAATTAACATTGCTCTAGGGAATATAAGTGGTACTTCTGATCTTGGTAACAATTCTCATAGTTTAAACGCAAGTATATCAAGTAGTAACGCATATACTGAAGAGGTCCTAGCAGATGCCGTACAATTCAGTATCAAGCAGGAGCAGATCTGTTCCGAAAGATATCATCTTTCGTCGACAGTACCATCCAGCAAACCATCTTTATTAAAAGAAACATCAACATGCAACGCAACGAAAGATAGTAGTGGATGGAATATGTCAACTGATATAAACGATTCATCTAATCCTAAATCAGTTATCATTTTGGAAAACGGAAACCAGGCAACCACCTACACAAAAATTTCAAAATCTACAGACAAGTCTGACAAAGACAAGTCTAGCGAAGATTCTTTGTCAAATATTTTTTCCAATTTGGACACTAAACAACATGCTGTCAGAAGCGTATCGCGAGCATCCATTAGAGAAGCTAAGGTTTGTATTCATAAGGCAAATAGTGCCAAAACAAAATATGTCCAGCAATATCAAGAATGTAGTCACAAGGACAGTGCTAAAAAAACGAATCACAGCTCCACCCGCAGTTTTGTTCACAGCAAGATGCTGGACATTCCGTGCTATAGACACAAGGGGAAAGGAAAGAAACATACAGTCGATGAAAAAGACGTATCAAGGAGTGATTTACCAACTGGTGGAAGAAAAGACGAGGTAAAGGTTATGGTCTCAAGTAGCCAGTCAAAGTTAAGTGATCTGACCTCAGTTCACAAAATAACACCAAATTTGTCGGAAGACGGTATACGACAGGCCAGTCTTGGGACCCAGGTGACTGAAAGCGACATAAAAACAGTAGGATACAAACCCGACAGAAGCAAAGGGCAAACGCCAGAGAACTTTGAACAAAGATCTGTAAAAAGCAACAAACATAACACAACGGACAAAAACAGCACCCACTCGGGCAAGAACATCGACAAGGACAGGGAGTCAAATAATCTTAACAACAACCAGCCAAAGCCGCCGAATGGGAAGAGAAATTTGTTTGATTCGATTCTTCTCGAGATTGAAGAAGGAGTCGTAGAGTCACCTTGCAAGTATAGAAAACTTCAGTTCGGAAAACTTCCACAATCTCACGCTGAAGATGGTAACCACCTGGACACTCCGGGCAGCTTTGGTAAAGTGTCAATAGACACAGCCGGGACTATTTCCCTTTCTAAACAAAAATGCAGGAATGAGGTAAATACTAGGCAGGGGAGTGAGATTAGACACAAAAGCAAGGAAACTCCTCAGTCACTCTCCAATAAACTTGCAGGCAATGCGTCAGCAGTAGTTCCATCTCCAAAGGCAACTCCAGAAATCAAACTGACAAGCATAAAGTCTTCTACAAGAAGGGGGTCATCATCTTTACCAACTTCCCATCGCGACTCTGATAGCAAAGACAGAAGCAAATCAGGAAGTAAGTATCACTCTAGCTGTTGCAGTAGTCGTCACAGAGACTCAAGTAGCAATCACAAGAACAGAGGCTCCGACAGGAAAGCAACACAAGGCCCAAGCGTTTCAGGGAATGTGTACGTCGTCATTCATGGCAGTAAACGTGATATTTGTATACAGACAGACCTTCAGAATGTTCATCAAACGCCCGGGAAAAGTAAAAGGAAACTTGACATGAATAAAGGAGACACAATCTCACAACCCAGTAAAGCTACAGGGGATGCAGTTCACAGTATAAGGGAAGGTATTAGTAAGGAAAAAGAACAATACACGGTAAACAGGATTAAATCTAAAGATAAAGAAAAAATGAAAGAAATAAACAATGGTTTAGAAAGAGAAACTGTCTCAAAAAATAAGACTGCTGAAGATCATGGGGAAAATTCGTCAAAGCTACAATGCCCAAAGGTAGATAAACAGAGCGAGAGACATTTTCCCAGAAGCTATCACACTGGACCTCAGCGGGAATTAGTAAAACAGCAAAGTGGCGACTCCGAGTCGAGCTGCATCGTGCCCTGCGACGGTGTTACAGCACAATCTTTGGTATGGAAGTCTTGTGATGAGGAACATTCATCAGACCTGAAGACATTAGATGTGAATCAAGGCTGCAGCGATCTTTTAAAACCAATTCACCGGTGTAGCAAACCTACTAGCTCCATGGTTCTAAAAGGTGTTGAAAACGATGCTGGCTTCCTTACCCCACAAGATGAGACCCGCACACGGCGAGACCAAACCAGGGATGAAGAGATATTTGCGTGTCTTTCTTTCTCAGACAGCGACGATGATATACCATTGGCCCTCATTCTAGGTAAGTACATATATATATGGCTGTCTTTGACATTTGTCGTCATATCTTAAGTGAAGTAGAGAACATTATTTGTTTGAAAGATGGAGTTGTTTTAATCTACATTTTGTGTCAGTTTATTCTGGTGTCATCTTTTTTTAATAGTTTTACCAACTATTCTTTTCCAAAACCACTAATAATCTGTTGAAAACAAAATTTCGTGGGATTTCATTAGAAACAGTAAAACCACGAGTTCAAGCATTGCGATGAGAGGCTGTGAATATTGATTTATTACCATAAAACAGAGAATCTGAGGGCAGACAAGCGAAAAGACACCAATACAGCGACTAGTGTAAATGACTTGGAGGATGATCAGCTGCCAAAAATGGCAGTTCCTTATACATCAAAACACACAAAACATAGTCAACGACGTTCACGATGTGACCGACCAGGTCTCAAAACCTACTTAGAGATCCGCAACTCAATGTCAGGAAAGTACCTGGAAACAGGTATCTCACTGTCAGGTATGTCATCAATTTTTCTAGTCATGTACAGATGTATCCACATTTAGCCTAGGCAGAAGTGTTCTGTCTTCTTCTAGGATATATACAGGACACACTCGCTCTTATTGACAATGTCATTACGTCAAGAAAAAAAAAATTCTGACATTGCATCAACAACGGCAGATCATGGAAGAAAAGTTATTGAAATTTCTTGAAAATCGTTGCATTTAAGGGGGAAAGGGGAACTTTTGGAAAGAGACAGATACATATCAACCTCGGGGTAAAATTTTGGGCTAGACATTACAGAATCTTATCCAATCATATTATGTTTGCTTTCTTTGTTACAACCAAAATGGAGCAAATTTGCTTATACATCTAATATATCGACGGTATGTATACACAACACAAGAACAACAATACTAGACAAAAATACGTGGATTTTTACACAGGTAATTCCATTGAAAAGCATTCATGTAGCGAGACTCCAGATATCACTTGGAGGAATTCATTGATGCCTCCTCCACTAGAAGCTGTCAGGAGATCGAAATCACGCGAGAACGCCACAATGTCAACATCAACTGACAGTCGAGCTTTGTCAGCTCCAAGAACCACCCCATCGGGATCAGAAGCCACATCAGGGAACCTGTCCTCGGACAGTACACACGCGTCTGACCCGAAACAGGGCCACCTCTCTGATGTTGAGAGTTATAAAGGGAATAAAGCAGAGCAAGGAAGTTACAGCAGCAAAAAGAAGAAACGACATCGGCGGAGGAAGAGTGAAAAGCCCGTGGTTAGTTCGTCTTCGGAAGAGTGTATACCCAAAGGTAGGAGACGGGGATTCCAGTGGAGGCAGGTGAGTAATACTCTGGTAACTGACAAGTAGATTATGCAATTTGCAGCAACTCACGGTATTTGATTAAGGTTTTGGAATTATTTTCAAGCCCGTTCACAAACCATGCCTCTTTAAAAATACCAAAAATGTAATTACAAAAGTGATCAAATGACTGACATGTACTAGTTTATGATGAGATTTGTAAAAAAATCTTTGCTGTATACTTATTTGCACATGTCAAAAAAATCCGTACAAAAAGCATCTTCAAAGGATATATATATATATATCCTCTTCAAATTGTGGATATACACCATGCCTTAAAGTTTGCCTAAGTTCTGTCCGATATAACTTATTCCATTGTCCTCAGCAGCTATTTTACAATTCCCCTCAGTTGTCTCCTCCGTGCTGGTGTTCACAGTAAGCTCGTCCTGATATACCTTTTTCTCTGCTGGGGTCCACAGTAAAGACTTTTTGGTGTGCCTCTCACCTGTAGCTGTCCACAGTAAGGCGTCACGTTGTTCATTTTCTTTTCTGTGTCCAAAGTAGGAGACTGTTTAAGTTTGTTTCTTTCCTGATGATGTCCATATCCAGGTCATATTGGTGCGTGTCTTTGTGTCAAACGAGCTTCTCATGGAGTACAATGTATTTTCAATTGAAAATGAATTTTGGGATACTTATGCATAGTATGCGGTGTTATCGGCAGACAAACCATCCGATACTTCTGAAAACACTAGTACATTTACCGCTGGTATTACATATGATTTAATGTGGTTTATGGTAATTCATAGGAGTGCCTGCGGATACTGGACAGAGTGTACAACCATCACTTCAGTGAACCCTTCCGCCATGAGGTGAAGTCCAAGGATGTAAGTGTTATAACAATGGTTCCGTACTTAAGCCTACATACCCTTTGTAATATATCATTATGATTACTAGATACTCGCACATACGTGTGAATATTGATATTTAATGTTAATATTTGTTTATTAACTGCTACAGATAGCCTTATACTGCAAGGACACGCAGACGTGTGAATATAAATGTCAATGCATGTTGTTTGTTGACTGCTATAGATACCCGACTACTACAAGATCGTCAAAAGGGGAATGTGTTTTGATATCATTGGCTACAAGTTGCGATGCAATATTTACGAAGAACTGAGGGATTTCTTCCTTGATGTTCGTCTTGTGTTTGAAAACTGTCGACTGTACTACAAGGTAATATAATCATCCGCCATATCTGCTACATCGTAGTTTTAAGAACAAGGAAATACTTTCAATAAGAGCCTCAATTAAGAATTTCTATTCTAAGTATGTGATAGTTATAATAACAACTTGTAGGAGAAAACTTGTATTCTGCAGCAAGTGTTTACCCTTGGAGTTAAACATGTTATCCGCACGAACAAGTAAAATGTGTTTTTCTTTCTCCAGCCACAGTCTCCCATCTATCGGGCAGGTCTGGTAGTACGGTACTTCTTCCGCAAGATAGCAAAGGAGGTCCTCATGCCTCGCACAACCGCCATGTCAAGGCATCCTAGTTGAAGAAGCGAAAAACATGGAACCATTCTACTAGCCAAATGAACCAGGCAGTGCTGGGCCTCATCAACGTCAGGACCAACTTTTCCATGCGTCTTTCATTCTTTGATCAATTTATTGATATAGATCGGATTCATACAAATGATTATGTATAGGAAGACTGGTCAAGTACATCATTAAAGTTTCTTAAATGACACACTCAGTATGGTGTGATTGTAACCAGAAAAAGAAAATCACATTATGTAACGATTGGTACTGGATAAATTTGTTATTGACAAACTCAGTACTAAATTAAGGTTGTTGCAGCCGTTACAGGCAAAGTACGAAATAATTGTGACCAAGGTCGGTAATAAATTATTGTTACAAGTCAGCCTCGGTGTGTTTTATTGTTACCAAACTCACTCAGTTTGAACTAATTTTCATGTACAGTTTGGGAGGAGAACCCCAAGCCCCACGTTTTTTTATCCCCATGATCCAAGGTTGCTACCGCCATGTACAATCCAATCAGCAAATTTGACCCCTGTTATCTCCTCTCTCCCCAGGAGGGTCGCTGCATTAAATTGTATACTTTTTGATGTCCGCGAGCTGAGAATTTTATCACTAAAACTTCATTGATGTTTGCCCAGTAGTTTTGCAAATGTCTTCTAAAGCTAACTAGCCAGTTAGTCTACCTTTTTCCTGGCGCTTCAGCCCATCTGTATAACTTCTGATCCCGACTACTAAGTATAGTATCACTACATTTTGGTAGAAATTTGTTCCGTAAATTAGGAGATGTCATTTAAACCAACACATCCAATTTGACCCCAATTACCTCCTCTGCCTCCAGGGGGAAACTCTGTGTAGTCGTCCACCTTTTGATTCCCATGAGCTAAGCTTTACCTCCAATTACTTAGTTCCCAGGAGGTTCAATTTGACTCCTTTACCTCCAATTACTTAGTTCCAAGGAGGTTCAATTTGACTCCTTTACCTCCAATTACTTAGTTCCCTGGAGGTTCAATTTGACCCCTTTACCTCCAATTACTTGGTTCCAAGGAGGTTCAATTTGACCACTTTACCTCCAATTACTTAGTTCCCTGGATGTTCAATTTGACTCCTTTACCTCCAATTACTTAGTTCCCAGGAGGTTCAATTTGACTCCTTTACCTCCAATTACTTGGTTCCAAGGAGGTTCAATTTGACTCCTTTACCTCCAACTACTTAGTTCCCAGGAGGTTCAATGTGACCCCGTTTATACCTCCAATTACTTAGTTCCATTGAGGTTCAATGTGACCCCTTTACCTCCAATTACTTAGTTCCTAGGAGGTTCAATTTGACTCCTTTACCTCCAACTACTTAGTTCCCAGGTGGTTCAATGTGACCCCGTTTATACCTCCATTTACTTAGTTCCATGGAGGTTCAATTTGACTCCTTTACCTCCACCTACTTAGTTCCCAGGAGGTTCAATGTGACCCCGTTTATCCCTCCAATTACTTAGTTCCATGGAGGTTCAATGTGACCCCTTTACCTCCAATTACTTGGTTCCAAGGAGCTTCAATTTGACCACTTTACCTCCAGATACTTAGTTCCCAGGAGGTTCAATTTGCCCACTTTACCTCCAATTACTTAGTTCCTAGGAGGTTCAATTTGACTCCTTTACCTCCAATTCCTTAGTTCCCAGGAGGTTCAATGTGACTCCTTTACCTCCAATTACTTGGTTCCAAGGAGCTTCAATTTGACCACTTTACCTCCAGATACTTAGTTCCCAGGAGGTTCAATTTGCCCACTTTACCTCCAATTACTTAGTTCCTAGGAGGTTCAATTCGACCCCTTTACCTCCAATTACTTGGTTCCAAGGAGGTTCAATTCGACCACTTTACCTCCAGTTACTTAGTTCCCAGGATGTTCAATTTGACCTCTTTACCTCCAATTACTTAGTTCCTAGGAGGTTCAATTTGACTCCTTTACCTCCAACTACTTAGTTCCCAGGAGGTTCAATGTGACCCCTTTACCTCCAATTACTTGGTTCCAAGGAGCTTCAATTTGACCACTTTACCTCCAGATACTTAGTTCCCAGGAGGTTCAATTTGCCCACTTTACCTCCAATTACTTAGTTCCAAGGAGGTTCAATTTGACTCCTTTACCTCCAACTACTTAGTTCCCAGGTGGTTCAATGTGACCCCGTTTATACCTCCAATTACTTAGTTCCATTGAGGTTCAATGTGACCCCTTTACCTCCAATTACTTGGTTCCAAGGAGCTTCAATTTGACCACTTTACCTCCAGATACTTAGTTCCCAGGAGGTTCAATTTGACCTCTTTACCTCCAATTACTTAGTTCCTAGGAGGTTCAATTTGACCACTTTACCTCCAATTACTTAGTTCCAAGGAGTTTCAATTTGACTCCTTTACCTCCAATTACTAGGTTCCAAGGAGGTTCAATTTGACTCCTTTACCTCCACCTACTTAGTTCCCAGGAGGTTCAATGTGACTCCTTTACCTCCAATTACTTGGTTCCAAGGAGGTTCAATTCGACCACTTTACCTCCAGTTACTTAGTTCCCAGGAGGTTCAATTTGACCTCTTTACCTCCAATTACTTAGTTCCCAGGAGGTTCAATTTGACCCCGTTTATACCACCCTTCAGCCTCTTTACTTTCAATGTATACAGCTTTTCCCCCCTGAGCTAGGCATGCTTTCATTACTATTGGTTGATATCTGTCAGGTAGTTTAGGAGATGTCATTTAAGCTGTAGTTTACCTTTTTTGATCCAGGCCCTTTTTTGCACAAGTTTTGATCCCAGTGGTCTAAGGATGCTAGCATCAAAATTTGATTGGATTCTGCTCTGTAGTTGGAGAGATGACAATGGCACTTCATATCTAGTAAACTACAATTCAACTATAGGTATTGTTTCCCTTTGCCAATAATCAATTAGTTATTTCCAATTAAAACCATAGAAACTAGTGCTTCATAATTACAAGCAGATTTCGCTCAAATTTGTTGTGCCTTGCACTTATATTGTCTAAATATTCAAGTTTCACAAAGATCCAGTAATATTTTATTAAATCATTATGCAGAACTGGTTGATCAATCGGAGCTCATTATGCTTATTAATTTATGAATTTTCTACAAGAGGCCCTCTCTGGGCCTCTTTCGCTCACCTGGATATCTAAGTAATCATGGCAAAATATTCTCCAAGTGAGATCCAAGGGAATATGCCAGACCCCAAGGCCAATCCTTGTAGTATATCTGTATTAGATTCTTCATGCCCAGCAATTTAATGTATGGTTATGGGGTGGGGATCAGAAACTAGGTCCCTAGGGTTGTGGGTGTGGATCTTAACCATTTCAAAGTTATGACCCAGGGGTTAAGTCTCCAAGGGTGGGGCAGACCCCAAGGCCATCCTGGAAGCATATGTGCATTCATCTCTTTATACTCAGCAATTGTATATATGGTTATAGGGTGGGGATCTCAACTTTTTGTCAAGCTGTGACTAAGAAACTAGGTCCCTAGGGGTTTGGTCAGACCCCAGGGTCTATTCTAATATCATGACTGCATTCGTCTCTTTATGCCCAGCATTTGTATATATAGTTTAGGGGTGGTGATCTCAACCATTTCAAAGTTATGACCCAGAGACTATGTCTCCATGGGTGGGGCCAGACCCTAGGGCCATCCTGGAAGCAAATGTGCATTCTTCTCTTTATCCTCAGCAATTTTATATATGGTTATACGGTGGGTATCTCAACCATTTCCAAGTAATAAACTTTTTTGGGCCCCACCCCTTAGCCGGGGGGTTAGCCCCACCATTTGTACAAATTTGAATACTTGCCTCCAATGAATGCTTCCGACCAAATCTGATCGATATCCATGGCATAATTCTACAGAATAAGTTATTTATAGCAATATAGCCAAATTGCCCCCTTTTTCTGCCCATAAGCCCCCTGGGGGGTCAGCCCTACCATTTGTACAATTATGAATCTCCACCACCTAGGGATGCTTCCAGTCAAATATGGTTGATATCCATCTCTTAGTTTCAAAGAAGTCGGTTAAATCCCTGCCTCCCAAGAATGCTTTTGATCAAATATGATTGATATCCAGTGAATAGTTCTACAGAAGAAGTCGTTTGTAGCAATATAGCCAAATTGACCCATTTTGGCCCCGCCCCTCAGCCCACTGGGGGGTCAGCCCCACCATTTGTACAGTTTTGAATCCCCACCACCTAGGGATGCTTCCAGTCAAATTAAGGTGAATTCCAATCAGTGGTTAAGAAGAAGTCGTTAAAGGAGGCTCCACCCTTTCACAATTAGCCAGCAGAATTCAATGAAAGTTTCACATAATGGTTATGTCACTATGTAGAGGTGATGTTATGAAAATCTAAGCATTCCGATAAACTGGGGATTCTTTTGTAAAATATACCGAAAGATAGATTTTTGTCAAATTCAACACTTTCACTTTTTTTGAGCGTGTGGCATTGTTCAAAACTATTACAACAATAAAATAATGAAAAGAAACATTGCTAATCAATCCTACAAATATTATATTTATCATAAAATATCTACAACATGTTACAAAAAGCGTTTTTTATTGAAATTATATGGATAAAAGTTACTAAATACAAGCTAAAACCAAATACACACAAAGTCTTTATAATTAATTAATATTACATTTTACAATAATTTTGATCCTGATGAGAGTTGTCTACCTTGAAAAAATTCGAAACTTTTGCAGAGGGATAGAATTTATACAATGACACTTATTTTCTTTACTATAGCAAAAACGACGGAAATAAATTAAATTCCTATATTTAATTGTCAATTTACTGTTCCTTTATGGAACAAAATTACTCTCAATCATGTACACTTTGGAGATCATTCCATAGCCCGCTTACGCATGGTATATTAACATGCCAGGTACATATGTAACCATAGGCTATCGCATGGTATGCTGTTATTATGTGCACGCACATGCACTTGTATTTTATAGGGATCTTGATATTTTACAAACCACTATTTTCACAGAGTTATTGTAATTGCATTTGTGAACCGATTTATCTGACAGAGCGTAACTCGCTCGACAACAAAAGTCGTAGCCTACGACCAAGAGCTTGTGAGCTACTGTTTGCATGTGATACGTACAGGTGAGGTCGGTAAGCAAAACACATCAGTCTGCATTCCATGCGCCTCATATACGACCTTCTTGAAGTCGTCTGATCGTATGTCAGTGTTTTCCCGTGAGTTCATTAATGTCTTTGTATCATAATACAAAATGATATTCATGCAGATATAGAGACAAACTGATTGACACTCCAAATAACATAATACCTCCCATCAAAACCTTTGTCAGGCGTATAAAATTCAAGACACTTTATTGCATAAAACAAAATTTATTCAAAGTTAACAATCCTTTTGTCATATCCTGATATATTTACAAATTAAAAATATACAAAATCAAAAATACTGAGACCACCAAGGACAATAAAATTCTACCCTTTCTTGTCTAACATGTTGGATTGACACACATGTACTTACACACTCCTAGCTACCTTTCACTGATAATCTTGTGTTGTTATAGAATCTGACGACATATTTAAGCCCTAAGTATTTACAGCAATTCATCAAATGCCAAGTTACAAGATGTTAACTTTCATTGCTTCATCACAGCAAATTATTGTAGGGAGGTTGAAATATCTTAACTGTAACACATATCTGTAAAAGATTCTTTTGATAAAACGTAAATAGTGATTTTCTGGGGGAGTAAAACAGCACTCATCTAAAAGGAAAAGCAATCGGTACCTCCAAAAATGCTCAGATATGGAATTATCACAATCACACACCCGATTTTGAACTTAGCACTAATAACAGACAAACATACCAGACTATCACCTCAGCACTAATCCTGGACATTTACCTCAAGACAATTACAGGGTATCATCATACAACCTTTAAACACATTAATATTCCTATATAAATCAGGTAAAACATTGTACTTAAACAACTGGGGTCTCAGTGTAGTGCCTTAAAACAGGATAACAAGTGTAATACGACAATCGGCCTCAGTATAGTGCCTTAAAACAATACGACAATCAGCATAGCTAAAATTGTTAATAGTTAAAAAAAGATTAAACAATGGATCGGCAACAAAATCCCTCGTGTTCACACAGTATAGAAAATAATTGGATATGTCTTCATCACCAAATAGTATGCCTGCATATCATCAAACCTGATCCATGTTAAAGCCAATCAAAACTAAAAAAGTTTTATGACATTATCTTTTTAGAACATTTCCTGGAACATAAAATAAAGGGAAGCTGGTATGTTACTTCGGTTGATATCAGTTAACCAGGTCAGGGTCATGGCTGTGAGGGCTTGTCCTTTGATGACCCCTGACCCTGATTGATGTTTAGTGTCTGCAACAGTGGCAGCAGTCCAGAAAGCAGTGGCATATTGGCCTGTGGCTGAGGTTGGGACTGCTGTCCCAGTCCTCCCATGTAGGGTGGCAACCCCACCATGTATGGATTTCCTGCTAGGTTAGCCTGCATCAGGTTCATCAGCTGGGGTGTCATACCTGCCTGACTTGTCACAGGGAACTGCTGGTTCATCAGCTGGTGTGTCATACCTGCCTGACTTGTCGTAGTGAACTGTTGATTCATTAATTGTGGTGTCATACCTGCCTGTTGTGAAGCCAGATACTGCAGGTTGACATTGGAGTTTCTCTGACTGGTGGCATACTGCTGGTTCATGGTATTTTGAGGCTGTTGAAAAGGGACTGTGCCTCTCACAAACTGATTGGTCAGACTGGGTATCTGGGCACCCAGAGGGGCCTGAGGCATCATCATGGTCTGGAGTAACAACTGCTGTTGGGCCAGGGTGTTCAGTAGCTCCTGATGATTGGTGGGTTGTGGTTGGCTGGGGGTTGATGGTTGTGGTTGGCTTGACGTGGCAGGCTTGCTCTGACTCAGCATATTCTGCATTGGGGCAACAACATTCATCTTAATGGGCGACACATTAGTTGGCGGAGTGGAAATGCCCAGCTGTAAATATACAGAACATGTATTACATTTACTGTCATTGGGGTCAATGTGAAAATTCAACACAGTTATTACATTATAGTAATGTGTGGACTCCGAGACTTTGTACATGTAACAAACTTAAAGTTTATGTTTAAAAAAGATAGCTAATTGATGGAATGTTTAAAAATGATTTTACACAAAGACACTTAAACATACAGACAGACAATAACTCAAGGGTAAAATTCACTGGATCAACTTTCCTGATGCCAAGATCTTTATAAAATAGCTTGCTAAATGAATGAAATGAAAACCTGGGCAGCAAGCCTATCTGACCATCACATCCTGCTGAATGAAAGATGAGGCACAGCCAGTAAAACACAATTTCAATCAACTACTGCTTCCAAAGAAAGCCGTTTAAAAGACTCACCTGTGACATGCCCTTAAGTGGAGACACACGGTTGCGGTCAAACATGCCCTCAGACATAGTGGCCCTAACTTTGTCATCAGAATTGGCAGTAACACATGGAGGACTTTTTTTCACTGCCTTCTGAGGGCTGTCTGGGTCCAGTGCTGCAGAAAAAACAAAACTCAATCACAGACAGTAAATCACAGAAACTCTTGTTCTTAAAAAGGTATGACTGCCCTCACCCTTACTTAGACAGGTGTAGCTAACCACCTTTACTAAGACAAGTATGGCTGACCCTTAACCTTACTTGGACAGGTGTAGCTAACCACCTTTACTAAACCAAGTATGGCTGACCCTTAACCTACTTAAACAGGTGTAGCTAACCACCTTTATTAAGACAAGTATGGCTGACCCTTAACCTTACTTATACAGGTGTAGCTAACCACCTTAACTAAACCAAGTATGGCTGACCCTTAACCTTACTTAGACAGGTGAAGCTAACCACCTTTACTAAGACAAGTATGGCTGACCTTTAACCTTACATAGACAGGTGTAGCTAACCACCTTTACTAAGACAAGTATGGCTGACCCTTACCTTTACTTAGACATGTAACTATGTTTACCCGACCTTAATCTTTACTAAGCTAGGTTTGGTTGGTCCTCAACTTTACTGTGATAGGTGTGGTTGACCCGCAGCTTTACTGTGATATGTGTGGTTGACCCTCAGCTTTACTCAGATAGGTGTTGTGTACCCTCACCTTTACTGAGAGAGGTATGACTGACTCTCAGCTTTACTTAGATAGGTGTTGTTGTCCCTCACCTTTACTCAGATAGGTTTTGTTGACCCTCAGCTTTACTCAGATAGGTGTTGTTGGCCCTCATCTTTACTGACAGAGGTGTTGTTGACCCTCACCTTTACTAAGATAGCTGTTGTTGGCCCTCATCTTTACTGAGAGAGGTGTTGTTGTCCCTCACCTTTACTCAGATAGGTGTTGTTGACCCTCACCTTTACTCAGAGAGGTTTTGTTGACCCTCACCTTTACTCACATAGGTGTTGTTGACCCTCATCTTTACTCACATAGGTGTTGTTGACCCTCATCTTTACTCACATAGGTGTTGTTGACCCTTATCTTTACTCACATAGGTGTTGTTGACACTCACCTTTACTCAGATAGGTGTTGTTGACCCTCACCTTTACTCAGATAGGTGTTGTTGACCCTCACTTTTACTCAGATAGGTTTTGTTGACCCTCAGCTTTACTAACATAGGTGTTGTTGACTCTCACCTTTACTGAGAGAGGTGTGGCTAACCCTCACCTTTACTGAGAGAGGTGTGGTAAACCGTCACCTTTACTGTGATGGGTGTGGCTAACCCTCACCTTTACTGTGATGGGTGTGGCTAACCCTCACCTTTACTGTGATGGGTGTGGCTAACCCTCACCTTTACTGTGATGGGAGTGGTTAACCCTAACCTTTACTGAGAGAGGTGTGGTAAACCGTCACCTTTACTAAGATAGATGTAGTTAACCCTCATATCCACTGTGATAGGTGTTGTTGACCCTCAACTTTACTGAGGTGTATTTGACCTCACCTTTACTGAGAGAGGTGTAGTTGACACTCACCTTTACTGAGAGAGGTGTAGTTGACCCTCACCTTTATTGAAAGAGGTGTGGTTGACCCTCACCTGTACTGAAAGAGGTGTGGTTGACCCTCACCTTTACTGAGAGAGGTGTAGTTGACCCTCAGATTTACTGAGGGGTATTTGACCCTCACCTTTACTGAGAGAGGTGTAGTTGACCCTCACCTTTATTGAAAGAGGTGTGGTTGACCTTCACCTTTACTTAGATAGGTGTGGTTGACTTTCACCTTTACCGAGAGAGGTGTGGTTGACCCCAACCTTTGCTGAGAGGTGTAGTTGACCCTCACCTGTACTGAAAGGTGTGGTTGACCTTCACCTTTACTGAGAGAGGTGTAGTTGACCCTAGTCCAAATTATTCTGACGTTTTATCGACTTTTTTCATATCGGTCTGTCGTCGATTAACGTCAGAACTCCGGCCCTCTATAATATGTGGGAAATATGTGTGTGAAAGTGACGATTTGTTTCTAAAACATCAGTTTGAAGTGCGCTCCTGGCGCGGGTCGTTTTCCTGCATATTATAGAGGGCCGGAGTTCTGACGTTAATCGACGACAGACCGATATGAAAAAAGTTGATAAAACGTCAGAATAATTCGGACTAAGTTGACCCTCACCTTTACCGAAAGAGGGTTGACCCCCACCTTTACTGAGAGTGGTGTGGTTGACTCTCACCTGTACTGAGAGGTGTGGTTGACCTTCACCTTTACTGAGAGAGGTATGACTGACCCTCACCTTTACTGAGAGAGGTGTAATTGACCCTCACCTGTACTGAAAGGTGTGGTTGACCTTCACTTTTACTGAGAGAGGTGTGACTGACCCTCACCTTCACTGAGACAGGTATGACTGACCATCACCTTCACTGAGATAGGTATGACTGACCCTCACCTTCACAGAGATAGGTATGACTGACCCTCACCTTTACGCTGCCTTTGCTGGTCCTGCATATCCTTCAGTACACTGATCTGGTCCTCAACCTCCTTGAGTTTGTTCACATTGTCCTCCATGTTTTCTGGATGAGTCATCAGGTTTTGAAGAATCCTTTTCCTAGAAGAAAATAATTCCGTTTCTGTTTATATATGACAGAACTGTTCAGTGAAGAAAGGAGGGTCAGGCGTTTCTATCTTACACCCAATTTTAAGTTTTCGACAGCATGAAATTGGGAATATTCTGATGCTGTGATGTGGAAACTGGGATGTGTTATTGAGTTATTTTTGTGGTTGGAATGAGAGTAAAACATTTTTTCATGCTCAGGGGTGTAGGATAAGGAAATTCCACTCTTGTGATATTCACCCAATTTGAAAACCCCTTGGGTTTAATTTCCAAATCTAACATGTTACATCCCTGGGCAAAAAAGAGTCTTACATTGAAATTATCTAAGCAACTATAAATTGTATTATCTTTTTTTACTTAATACCATTGAACTGTAGGCCTGGAGGTAGAGTCAGGTGTGTTACTATGATTTAACTGTAGGCCCTGGAGGTATAGTCAGGTGTGTTACTATGATTGAACTGTAGGCCCTGGAGGTAGAGTCAGGTGTGTTACTATGATTTAACTGTAGGCCCTGGAGGTAGAGTCAGGTGTGTTACTATGATTTAACTGTAGGCCCTGGAGGTAGAGTCAGGTGTGTTACTATGATTTAACTGTAGGCCCTGGAGGTAGAGTCAGGTGTGTTACTATGATTTAACTGTAGGCCCTGGAGGTAGAGTCAGGTGTGTTACTATGATTTAACTGTAGGCCCTGGAGGTATAGTCAGGTGTGTTACTATGATTTAACTGTAGGCCCTGGAGGTAGAGTCAGGTGTGTTACTATGATTTAACTGTAGGCCCTGGAGGTAGAGTCAGGTGTGTTACTATGATTTAACTGTAGGCCCTGGAGGTAGAGTCAGGTGTGTTACTATGATTTAACTGTAGGCCCTGGAGGTAGAGTCAGGTGTGTTACTATGATTTAACTGTAGGCCCTGGAGGTAGAGTCAGGTGTGTTACTATGATTTAACTGTAGGCCCTGGAGGTAGAGTCAGGTGTGTTACTATGATTTAACTGTAGGCCCTGGAGGTAGAGTCAGGTGTGTTACTATGATTTAACTGTAGGCATGGAGGTAGAGTCAGGTGTGTTACTATGGATACAGTATGGACTGTAACAGCTGAAGAACAGTCAGGAGTGTTGCTTTAGTTACCGTTTAAACTGTAGGAGCTGAAGGCTAAGTTGGATGTCTTCAAGACTGACTTGGATATCTGACAGATCCTCACTAGCCTGACTTGTGGTCTCAGAGTCTGGGTAGTCCTCACCCTGAAAAACACAACAGCACCAGTCTTCAGATTATAACATATTATCAATATTACTATGTGTTTTATTTCTGTATAAGAAAACCTAATGTAGAGGTTATTTCTCAGTTTATTATATGTTACCTTCCAGTAGGGGTCACTAGGGTCAAACATCTGGATTAGCTCCCTCACATTGGTCCGTAGCTCCTCACATTGGTGATCAAACAGGTCCAGAATGAAGGGCACGCTTCAATACAAAAGTTGTCTCCCTTAGTTAAGTGCAGGTTAACACTAACACTCACAGGTGACTGTGTAGCAAACAAAGGACTGGAGTTCAGACATGTCTGATGTCAATGAGGAGAAATGAAGTATTGGAGATCCAACACATGATCAAGGTGTTTGGTTCTAAACTTGATTAAATGTAAATATGTATACTATTATATAATTCAGCCAGGTTTAAGAAATTTGAAGTCAAGGTCGACTTTGCTTTCTAGCCTCAAGTATCCTTGACAATACATTACAAACTCATCAGTCAAAGTTCACAATTATTATATATGAATAATTTTTAAATACTTACCGATTGAGTTCATACAATGTGATGAACTTTTTCTTCTTACTGTCTTCAAATACACCACATCTTCAAAATAGAACACAGCAATCAAAATCAACAAAAAATCAGGTAATTTTTATAATAAACAAATCATGCAAAAAAGAAACCATGCATATTAATTTCATAAAATATAAAGTGTACAGATACAAATTATAAACCAAAAACGTAGATTAACTATATTGGTAAACAGAGTTTAAACCCTAAAACCTTCACATATCAACTGACAATATATGAACTAATTCATATATCATACATCATTTGCACTCTTTGCTGAACACTTGGTGGAGACACCAATCATTCGCACTATTTGTTGAACACTTGGTTGAGACATCGATCATTTGCTCTCTTTGTTGAAAACCTGGTTGAGACATCGATCATTTGCACTCTTTGCGAACACTTGGTGGAGACACCAATCATTTGCACTCTTTGTTGAACACTTGGTGGCGTCACCAATCATTTGCACTCTTTGTTGAACACTTGGTTGAGACACCAATCATTTGCACTCTATGCTGAACACTTGGTGGAGACACCAATCTTTTGCACTCTTTGTTGAACACTTGGTGGAGACATCAATCATTTGAACTCTATGCTGAACACTTGGTGGAGACATCAATCATTTGAACTCTATGCTGAACACTTGGTGGAGACATCAATCATTTGCACTCCATGATGAACACTTGGTTGAGACATCAATCAATATATCATACATCATTTGCACTCTTTGCTGAACACGGGGTGGAGACATCAATCATTTGTACTCTTTGTTGAACACTTGGTTGAGACATCGATCATTTGCTCTCTTTGTTGAAAACCTGGTTGAGACATCGATCATTTGCACTCTTTGCTAACACTTGGTGGAGACACCAATCATTTGCACTCTATGCTGAACACTTGGTTGAGACACCTATCATTTGCACTCTATGCTGAACACTTGGTTGAGACACCGATCATTTGCACTCTATGCTGAACACTTGGTGGAGACACCAATCATTTGCACTCTTTGCTGAACACTTGGTTGAGACATCGAAGTTTACTAAAATTGGTAGAAAATTTAAGTCAGGAACCTGGGAAGAAGCCAAATATCTATTTTTTCCATCACCATATAGTAGTCCTGTAGCTGTATCCTTGACACTAAATATAATGACACTGCCTTGCCAGTGGACTCCATCCAGAGAATGACAACATGAATACTTGTGAGAAGTTAAATAACATTTTGGTTTAAACTTGAGTAAGGAACCTGTGGACAAGTTAAATGTCAAATTTCTCCATCATCATGTTAAGGTGCTGTAGCTGTGACACTGACCGTCCTCGTACTGGTCTGTAAAGATTGACCATAGAACTACCTGTGCGAAATTTCATGAAATTTTTGTTGAAACCTTTATTCAGGAATCTACATACAAGTCTATTGTGACCTTGACCATGAAAGTATGACCTTCACATTCAACTCCACTTCAGAGAATGATGTCATGAATACTATTGTGAAACTTTATGAAATTTCATTGAAAACTTTAGTCAGGAAGTTGTGACCAATTGTTAACAAATAAACTGATAGAGGGCTAGGCTAGGATGTCAGGAAATTGTGACCAATTGTTAACAGATAAACAGATAGAGGGCTAGGATGTCAGGAAGTTGTGACCAATTGTTCACTTAAGATAAACTGATAGAGGGCTAGGATGTCAGGAAGTTGTGACCAATTGTCAACAGATAAACTGATTGAGCGCTAGGATGTTTGGAAGTTGTGACCAATTGTCAACAGATAAACTGAGAGAGCGCTAGGATGTCAGGAAGTTGTGACCAATTGTCAACAGATAAACTGAGAGAGCGCTAGGATGGCAGGAAGTTGTGACCAATTGTTCACTTAAGATAAACTGATAGAGGGCTAGTATGTCAGGAAGTTGTGACCAATTGTTCACTTAAGATAAACTGATAGAGGGCTAGTATGTCAGGAAGTTGTGACCAATTGTTCACTTAAGATAAACTGATAGAGGGCTAGGATGTCAGGAAGTTGTGACCAATTGTCAACAGAAAAATGATAGAGGGCTAGGATGTCAGGAAGTTGTGACCAATTGTCAACAGATAAACTGATAGAGCGCTAGGATGTCAGGAAGTTGTGACCAATTGTCAACAGATAAACTGATAGAGGGTTAGGATGGCCACACTATATTACACTAAAAGGCTACCAGCAATATTTAATTTAGAATGTTGCTTTGCTAAGGAATTAAGAGAAATGCACATATATTGATATGTAACAAGGCAATACTTATGACAGTACTGGACATGACAATGCTACCAGTCTATAGCACTAGTGGAGAAGGAACAGTCAGAAAGGTGAAACAATGAATTACAATCAAACAATTTGAAGCTGACAATAAAACTATACTCCCTGTCTATATAAGAATCATACACATGTAGAAACCGTCACCTATACTCCCATTCCATGCCTATGGGAGGAAGAATCAGATTTAGAGATCTGCTATATTCATGAAGACATCATAAGTATATCAAATATGGATTACCTCCCTTTACCTGCTGTTGTACTTACTGACAGAGGTCTTCAAACACTTCTGGGTACTCCTCCTGTCTCAGGGTCAGTCTGCTACCAGAACAGTTGTGCTGCTCCAGCTAAAAAGTCAAGTATGGGAACAGTAGTAAAACACAAGTAAACATCTAGGTTTAATGCTTTTGTAAATCTCATATTTTTCTTGTACAAATGAAAATTTGGCAAGAGACTTACCATGCTGATGAGTACACTTCAGTAGACATGAGGTAGGGGACAGTGACTTACCATGCTGATGAGTACACTTCAGTAGACATGAGGTAGGGGACAGAGACTTACCATGCTGATAAGTACACTTCAGTAGACATGAGGTAGGGGACAGAGACTTACCATGCTGACTCTTCAGTAAACATGAGGTAGGGGACAGTGACTTACCATGCTGATAAGGACACTTCAGTAGACATGAGGTAGGGGACAGAGACTTACCATGATGATGAGTACACTTCAGTAGACATGAGGTAGGGGACAGAGACTTACCATGCCAGTCTGCGACGTTAGGCACTAGTCCGATGCCCACGACTAGTAAATTTAAGTCTGGACTAGTATTGAAAATATTTAACTCGTCCGACTGGACTAGTGGCAATTTAAATTTTCCTCCAAAATAATGGAAATATTGTTCATTGTATAACATTTTGCACAATAAATCTTGTCACAAGTTTTAATCCCATCGTAAAATATGGTATTCGTCGAGGCGTTCGAAATTGAAGCATTTCGATGAGCGAGACTTGGTTCCGGATTTTAGTAGTTACCGAACATTACTTCCGGTTTATAACCACGTGAAACCAACCATGGCGATGTTGCTAAGCTGGAGAAAAGGTTTAAAACCAGCTAAGCCTGTCCGTGAACCGACAGAAAAAGATGCTCTAACACGAAATCAAAATTTACTGTTCTGGCTAGTGCTTAACGGCTCAATGAAAACAACAGTAATACTGTATTATAGATAATTGGCGATCACGTTCCGTGCTCCGTTTCTAAAGTTATTGAGAAACATTTTGTTTTGATTTCTAATAATTTTCCAATTTAGATCACAATTTACACTTCATGCTGTTAAAAAGACCAGTCTGTAATTTGGACTAGCAAATTTACAGTCGGGCTATGAAAATTCTGGGTTTACTAGTCCAATTGACTAGTGAGAAAAAAAAAGTTAACGTCACAGACTGCCATGCTGATGAGTACACTTCAGAAAGACGACACTTCAGCAGACATGAGGTAGGGGACAGTGACTTACCATGCCTGTGAGGATATCAACCTCCCAGAAGAAGGACGACATTTCAGTAGACATGAGGTAGGGGACAGTGACTTAGCATGCCTGTGAGGATATCAGCCTCCCAGAAGAAGGACGACACTTCAGTAGACATGAGGTAGAGGACAGTGACTTACCATGCCTGTGAGGATATCAGCCTCCCAGAAGAAGGACGACACTTCAGTAGACATGAGGTAGGCAGTATCATTAAGGTTGATCAAGTTAACAATGTATTCTCCAGTAAGTTGTATTCTGAAAGACAGGAATGATATGTTAAGGGAAAGTGTACCACTGCACTAAGGACTTTTATTGTTAGAGTTACTTCCCTTGTCAACAGATTCATCTCCCATTTTGAAGCTTTGCATTTCTATTTCCTGAATAGCCACATTAGTTAACTGTAGCATTTGCAGTAAAAGACTACAATTTGACTTGTGCAATTTAAGAAAATAAATTGATGTTTACTTTTTGTTCCAAGAGCTTTTTTCCATAAACCTCAAAATTTGTTTTGTATAATTAATGACTCAGAGTTGGACTGTATGTTCGACATCTGTCAGGGAAGAGACTTTAACTTACGGTTGTACATAACGCCGGCTCAGTTCCTCAGTTATCTCCTCCTTGTGGTGTACCGGTGGCTGGACAGGTGGCTCCACCTCCACTTTGGGTTCAAACCCCTCTCCATAGACACAGGAATAGTCTGGTACCTGTAGAGAAGATTTAATGGTAACTGATAGTGCTTAAAACAACAACAGAATTCACAAAACTTGTTTTTTTAAACAAGATAATGTAGTAGATGAAACACAATATGCCTATAAATATTTTTTATGTCTTGAAAAGCTTGAGATTAACTTACATAACTTGCCTGTCAGCAAATGATCCCTAACACATATACACATTTTACCTCAAACCCCTTGTAAACTCAGTCTGTGAGATTCCAGAGTATCAAATTGAACAAAGTAGTTATCAGTCTTTACTTCCATAGAGGGATACAGTACAGTGTGTACAACAGTCAGAACATATTTTATAATGTGACTTCACTGGGCTTCTCTAAAACTCAAACTGCAGTGATATCAAAATTTTACTTTCTGCAAAAACAATGTACATATTAAACATGTAGCAACATTTCAAGACAAACTGGTTCCTTTGTCAAGCTATGACTTGGTGAGCAATTTGTATACAAATACAAATTTGTAAACAGGTGTATTGTTTACCTGTACAACTATGGACAAAATTGCATATTTCTTGTCACTCGACCCAGGACATTTCTTATTGAAGATATGAAAAAGTGTAAGTTCCAATTCCATGCAATTACTTATTATTTGATTGAAAATATTTAAATAACAGTAAATTGTTTATCATTAATGAAAATAACTTATTTATAATCATCAATTAAATCAATTAAACCTGAGCATGAATTATACATAACACACCAGACATGTTAACCCTGCTACCTTTGCACCTCACATGTGAGCAGGTATAATGAAGCTTGTTCCCCCCCCCCCCCCNTCGGGCAGTAAATGGCCTAACGAAGCTTGATCAACATCCCCCGACAGTAAGTGTGGCCCACTTTCCTTTATCATTGATCTCCATGTCAATAAAGTGCTAGTCAATAACATCAATCTCACTCAGGCAAAGTAAACATCACATCTGTATTGGAATATCAAGTGCTGAGCAGGTGATTCTGATATGTCATTGCCAAAGTGTTTAACGAAATATGATAACCTCAATACCTGTGTTTATCAACTGATATACCTATATACAGAAACAGGACCAAATGGGCTTAGCAGTCCATACCTTAATACATACAGATAAATAGGCCTAGCAGTCCATACCTTAATGCATACAAATATATACATAATTCAGTCATTTTAGAACTAAATTGAATATCTTTACTTCTAATCATTGGAATTTGTTTGAGTAGAATGCTTTGAAAAGCTGCATTTCAATCATTAATTTTACTATCCCAACTATGCCAAAAAATATATTTAATTTTACAAGCTTCTGGGTTTGTTTTTTTGGTTCATGACCCATTTTAAGCAAACCATATTACCAAATGGAAGAGCAGTAATTTTTGTGGGAAGAAGTTTTTATTTTTATTTTCTGTAGGTGACAAACCTCTACTGGAAACCATTTAGGAATTCTCGTCGAAGTTTAAAAAATTCAAAACATGTCCTTTTTATTCTGATAAAATATGCCTTTATTACATTTACAGAAATTACTCTGAAGTTTAAAGTAATCAGGCTGTCAGAACTCAAGTTATCGGCTGGTGAATAATCTGACACAAGAAAGACAGATTAGCTGTTATATGGAAGGACCAACACATCCTTCTTCATTCCTAATTAAGACATGTGAAGTCTGAAAGTATCCAGTCTGTCAAAACTGAAGTTACCTGAGCTGGTAGGGGTTTGTGGATGGACAGACAGAGTGCTACTATAGGGAAACATTCTGCAATGCTGATTAAGACATGTGAAATCTGAAAGCAATTGAACTTATCAAAACTATAGTTATCAGTCAGGGAAGAATTGTGGTTGGACCAACAAAGTGATGACTGTAGGGCACCCGAACGTTGAAAGCAAGGTCCTAATGAAGGAGCCTGGATTTATTCACTTCTCGCTGTCTATATAAGGTCTCACTGTATATAGGTTGTTATTTATATATTTCATAACTAGTGTCATCTATTTAATGATTAATCTGTGGACCATTTATAACATATCTTTTTTATTTTCTGTATACCATTTACCCATCAGATGTTTAAACTGTGGTTAAATATATTATATACTTACATAGCTGTAAACATGGGAAGAAAACTCTAAGTGATTTGGCTGAATGACAAGTAATATAAATAATCTGTCTGTACATGAATATGTTTATGTGGAAATACAATATTAATTCAATCTGAAAGGAATACAGAGTTGTTTATATATAGCAATCAGTTAGAAGTGCATCTGGCTGATAATATCCCTGCCGATGGACTGTTGGGAGTAACAGGCCTTACACATCATTATAGCTCTTTACTTACACAGACTTCACAATCTCAGTCTCCTTACCCCTCCTGATCATTCTCTTCACACAGGGAGTAACAGGCCTTACACCTCATTATAGCTCTTTACTTACACAGACATCACAATCTCAGTCTCCTTACCCCTCCTGATCATTCTCTTCACACAGGGAGTAACAGGCCTTACACCTCATTATAGCTCTTTACTTATACAGACATCACAATCTCAGTCTTCTTACCCCTCCTAATCATTCTCTTCACACAGGGAGTAACAGGCCTTACACCTCATTATAGCTCTTTACTTATACAGACATCACACTCTCAGGTTCCTTACCCCTCCTGATCATTCCCTTCACACAGGGAGTAATATCATAGCTCTTTACTTATACAGACATCACAATCTCAGTCTACTTACCCCTCCTGATCATTCTTTTCACACAGGGAGTAACAGGCTTTACACATCATCATAGCTCTTTTCTTATACAGACATCACACTCTCAGCCTCCTTACCACTCCTGGTCATTCTCTTCATACAGGGAGTAACAGGCCTTACGCCTCATTATAGCTCTTTACTTACACAGGCTTCACAATCTCAGTCTCCTTACCTCTCCTGATCATTCTCTTCACACGGGGAGTAACAGGCCTTACACATCCTCATAGCTCTTTACTTATACAGACTTCACAATCTGTCTCCTTACCCTCCTGATCATTCTCTTCAAACAGACGTCATAATCTCCGACACATCTGTACCATTTAATGCCTATACATATCACACAGAGGGGTAGAGGGGAGCTTACTTATACAGACTTCACAATCTGTCTCCTTACCCTCCTGATCATTCTCTTCAAACAGACGTCATAATCTCTGTCTCCTTTCCCCTCCTGATCATTCTCTTCATACAGACGTCATAATCTCCGACACATCTGTACCATTTAATGCCTATACATATCACACAGAGGGGTAGAGGGGAGCTTACTTATACAGACTTCACAATCTCAGGTTCCTTACCCCTCCTGATCATTCTTTTCACACAGGGAGTAACAGGCCCTACACATCATCATAGCTCTTTTCTTATACAGACATCACACTCTCAGGTTCCTTACCACTCCTGGTCATTCTCTTCACATAGGGAGTAACAGGCCTTACACATCACCATAGCTCTTTACTTATACAGAAATCACAATCTCAGTCTCCTTACACCTCCTGATCATTCTCTTCACACGGGGAGTAACAGGCCTTACACACCATCATAGCTTTTTACTTATACAGACATCACAATCTAAGTCTCCTTACCCCTCCTGATAATTCTCTTCACACAGACGTCATAATCTCTGCCTCCTTACACCTCCTGATCATTCTCTTCACACGGGGAGTAACAGGCCTTACACACCATCATAGCTTTTTACTTATACAGACATCACACTCTCAGGTTCCTTACCCCTACTGATCATTCTCTTCACACAGTGAGTAACAGGCCTTACACATCTTCATAGCTCTTTACTTATACAGAAATCACAATCTCAGTCTCCTTACACCTCCTGATCATTCTCTTCACACAGGGAGGAACAGGCCTTACACATCATTATTGCTCTTTACTTACACAGACTTCACAATCTCAGGTTCCTTACCCCTCCTGATCATTCTTCACACAGGGAGTAACAGGCTTTACACATCATCATAGCTCTTTTCTTATACAGACATCACACTCTCAGTCTCCTTGCCCCTCCTGATCATTCTCTTCTCACAGGTAGTAACAGGCCTTACACATCATTATTGCTCTTTACTTACACAGACTTCACAATCTCAGGTTCCTTACCCCTCCTGATCATTCTCTTCTCACAGGTAGTAACAGGCCTTACACATCCTCATAGCTCTTTACTTATACAGACTTCACAATCTGTCTCCTTACCCTCCTGATCATTCTCTTCATACAGGGAGTAACAGGCCTTACTCATAACTATAGCTCTTTACTTATACAGACAACACACTCTCAGTCTCCTTACCACCCCTGATCATTCTCTTCACCCAGGGAGTAACAGGCCTTACACATCATTAGGTTCCTTACCCCTCCTGATCATTTTTTTCCCACAGGGAGTAACAGGCCTTACACCTCATTATAGCTCTTTACTTACACAGGCTTCACAATCTCAGTCTCCTTCCCCCTCCTGATCATTCTCTTCATACAGACGTCATAATCGCCGACACATCTGTACCATTTAATGCCTATACATATCACACAGAGGGGTAGAGGGGAGCTTACTTATACAGACTTCACAATCTCAGGTTCCTTACCCCTCCTGATCATTCCCTTCACACAGGTAGTAATATCATAGCTCTTTACTTATACAGATATCACACTCTAAGTCTCCTTACCACTCCTGATCATCCTCTTCATACAGGGAGTAACAGGCCTTACGCCTCATTATAGCTCTTTACTTATAAAGACATCACACTCTCAGTCTCCTTACAACTCCTGATCATTCTCTTCACACAGTGAGTAACAGGCCTTACACATCCTCATAGCTCTTTACTTATACAGAAATCACAATCTCAGTCTCCTTACCTCTCCTGATCATTCTCTTCACACGGGGAGTAACAGGCCTTACACACCATCATAGCTTTTTACTTATACAGACATCACAATCTGTCTCCTTACCCTCCTGATCATTCTCTTCACACAGAAAGTAACATGCCTTACACATCATCATAGCACTTTACTTATACAGACATCACAATCTAAGTCTCCTTACCCCTCCTGATGATTCTCTTCACACAGGGAGTACCAGGCCTTACACATCATCATAGATCTTTACTTATACAGACATCACACTCTCAGTCTCCTTACCACTCCTGGTCATTCTCTTCACACAGACATCACAATCTCAGTCTCCTTACCCCTCCTGATCATTCTCTTCACACAGACGTCATAATCTCTGTCTCCTTACCCCTCCTGATCATTCTCTTCATACAGACGTCATAATCTCCGACACATCTGTACCATTTAATGCCTATACATATCACACAGAGGGGTAGAGGGGAGCTATCAGATGCTGTACACCTGTGTTTATACAGCTGGTTAGAGGAGCTGCCAAATAAGGAACGCCCATATTTATACAGCCAGGTAAATGTGAGCTATCAGATGGGGGTGCCCCTGTATTTATACAGCTGAGTAGAGGGGAGTTTTTAGAATGGATACCTTTACATTTACAAAGCTGCAAAGGGTAGATGATTGCTACAATATGTTGTACTCCTACATTTACACAGCTGGGTAGATGGGAGCTATCGAATGAGACACTCTTTGTTTATATACAGATGGGTAGAGGGAACTAACAGCTATCATATGATGTACCCTTAAGTTATACAGCTGGGTAGAGGGGAGCTATCATATGATGTAATTGTGTGTTTATACAGCTTGGTAGATGGTAGCTTTCAGTCCTGTTACGTATCAGAGTTACCTGCCCCAACATTTGCTGTGACAATAGGCCTGCAGCCAGGCCAATACCCAAGTGTATACACGCACCAAACACCCACACCTCAGTCAACATGTGTATTGGGCAAATCCAATATTTGTTAATCATTGTGGAATAAAGTCCTTGCTGCCAGGAAAGTTGGCTTGTGTATTGAAAGTCTACACCTTACTCGCGTACATGTAGTAGTGTAAAAATTGCCGTCACCAAAATAAATATATATATCAAGTCGTATACCTTACCTACACAAGAACATACGTAGGATTAGAGGCAATTTAAAGTGATCTTTTATCTATCTGATTGAATGTCTAAAGTCAGCAGTTCCAAGTGTACTGGAATGTATTTCCCGACAGAGCTATTAGCATATTGTGAAAACCCAGTGAGGCGACTCCCAACAAGACAGTGATCTAAGTGAACGAGGGGGACAGACAAAAGTACCATAGTCTGACCGAGCCTTACCCCTACACAGGGACTGAACCACACCTGACCGCACCTCTACACCGAATACCTGGACACCCCCGACTACAGGACAGCCTGGATTACATGTGTTGTGTTTGTCAGTCAGTGTTCTGCCAAAGCGTTACCAGTCTTAGTTAATGTTTGTAGTGGAGTTTATAGGAGATTAACAGGGCCGGTCAGTTCTTTGTGAGCCTGCAGACTGTCCACCACAGACAGTGCTGAACTCTAGACATATTGTTGACATTGGACTTTACAACGAGGACATGCACAATCCTGCACTATAGACTTCAACATTACTCCATTCTGATGTCCCACTATTGAAGGATTATAAAAGTATTCCTACTTAGGTGAGTTAATGAAAAATTGTTGCATTGATCATGAGATATGATATGTAAGGGTAACTCGTCAAGGGCAACAGTGAGTAGAACATGAACTTACTGTCAACAGCCTAACTTATATATTAGAAGCTTATATAGCCCTAGTTTCTATTAGGAGGTGGGGTTTATTGCAAAATATTTATAGTTCTGTAGAATATATAGATAATTACAGTCACCAGGATAGCCCCAGTCTATTGCAGGAGGTGGGGTTCACTGTAGAATACTTATAGATAATTTGTAGTTCTGTAGAATATATAGATAATTACAGTCACCAGGATAGCCCCAGTCTATTGCAGGAGGTGGGGTTCACTGTAGAATATTTAGATAATTTATAGTTCTGTAGAATAAATTGATAATTACAGTCACCAGGATAGCCCCAGTCTATTGCAGGAGGTGGGGTTCACTGTAGAATATCTATAGATAATAACAGTCATCAGGATAGCCCCAGTCTATTGCAGGAGGTGGGGTTCACTGTAGAATATTTATAGATAATTTGTAGTTCTGTAGAATATCTATAGATAATAACAGTCACCAGGATAGACCCAGTCTATTGTAGCAGGTGGGGTTCACTGTAGAATATTTATAGATAATTTGTAGTTCTGTAGAATATATAGACAATTACAGTCACCAGGATAGCCCCAGTCTATTGCAGGAGGTGGGGTTCACTGTAGAATATTTATAGATAATTTGTAGTTCTGTAGAATATATAGA